GAATGCAGATTTTTGTTTTTTGTAAATGTATATTTTTTTCTGTGATTTACTGGATATCGTCTGTATTTTGATAAAACTGAAAATCTGTAAAGAAAAAGTAAATTATTTACCATTTTTCAGTCCTTAATTTACTGCAAGTATCTGTAACATTATCGTTTTTGACCGATGTAATTACAATAAAAATAAAAATAAAATAATTTACTTCTTGTAAAAAAAACCAAACTGATATTTGATGTGAACACTATTTACAGTTTTTCATATTTTTTTTAATGTGATTTACGGTCAACATGTAAATTAATCAGTTTTTATTTGATGTCACTGATATTATCTGTAATGAAACAAAACAAGGAAAATCAGTAAAACAGCTTCATAAATGATTTACCATTTTTAAACATTTATTATACATTATTTTTCAAATAAAGGAAAATATCAGTAAAATGTTGGATTTAAACGCAGCTTTGTCCTGTTTGTAAATAAATAGTTGTTTTTATGAATTATTATAATTAACAAAACGGAAAATCTGTAAAATAACAGTGAAGATCTATATTTACTGTTTTATTTTTCTCTTACAAAACTACAAATATTTGTAAAATAATCGTGTTTCTGTTGATATAAATGCAGAAAAAGTGTAATTTTATGTTCAGTTGATGTAAAAGAAAAAAATATTATTTCTGTCATTATCATGGCCATGTAGTAAATATGTAAATAGAGAGTTTTTTTCTTTTAAATGTGATTTTACTCGTTTTTATGAGTAATTTAGGAAAACTGTGAAATTAACAAATATTTTCACATCTTTACATCTTTAATTTTTATAATTTATCTTTCAAATAACTACAAATATCTGTAAAATAATGACATTTGTAGCTAAATTTAAATATAGTAAATTGTAATTTTCCGACAAATAACCTTTTTTTTGGACATTATTTACAGTTTCTGAGCTTTTTTGTGTGATTTCATGAGTTAACTGGAACTGAAGGAAACAGCAAATCCATAAAATAACAGTCAACAAATGAATATAAGTTTTCTTTCAAATATCTGTANAAAAAGGTTTTATGTCTTTTTATTCAGCGTATGTAAACTTCTGGTGTCACCTGTACATGTTAATGTAACATTAAAAGTTCAACTTAAGGAAATATAAATATATATATATTTAAATTAAGACAACAACGTCTCATTGTGTTCACACCATTATACTTTTAGCATCAAGCTAATAGTTGACTCGTAGCTAATGCTAATGCTTTGCTAAGTTGAAGCTAACGTTTTGAGCAATGCTAGCTGTTAGCTGTTGTTGAGCTAATTCTCACCAAGCTAGCAGCAACGAGCAGTTTT